ATATATATAGTATAGCTTTTAATAGCAAATTCTTATGATTAATTTGAAAATTTCTGATTGGCCTCTATTAACATTGTACTACAAGGCAACCCCAGCCCCCAAAACAAAACGGGAATTTTCAAGTTCCAGTTGTAAGTGGAAAAAAAAAAATCTATGAAGTGTGACAGATTTTATGATTTGCACATAAAACATTAGATATTGTGTTGAAAGCTTTTTATTAGTATTTATTTCTACCCCACATTATATATACACTGCTCAAAAAAAAAAAAAAAAAAAAGGGAACACCTTAACAAAACAATGCAACTCCAAATCAGTCACACCTTTGTGGAATCAATGTCACCAGTTAGATGGTAACACTTATTGTGAATCAGTTTCACCTGCTGCTGTGCAAATGGAACATGCAACAGCTGGAATGAGAGGCATTTAGCAAGACAACCCCATAAGAGTGATTCTGCAGGTGGTGACCACAGGTCATTTCTCTGTTCTCGTCCTTTCTGGTTGAACTTTTAATCACTTTTTCATTTTGTCAGTGGTGTCATGCATAAAGACATCATGAGGCATTTTTTTACAGCCCACTGAAGTTGCTCAAGTAGTGCAGCTAATCCAAGATGGAACACCAATGTGAGCGGTGGCAAGAAGATTTGCTGTGTTTCTCAGCACAATGTCCAGAGTATGGAATAGGTACCAGGAGGCAGGCCAGTACACCAGGAGACATGGAGGGAGGCGTAGGAGGGCTACAGCCCAGCAGCAGGACCGCTACCTCGTCCTTTGTGCAAGGAGGAACAAGAGGTCCACTGCCAGAGCCCTACAAAATGACCTCCAGCAGGCCACTAATGTGCATGTTTTCACTCAAACTGTCAGAAACAGACTCCATGAGGGTGGTATGAGGGCCCGACGTCCACATATAGGATCTATGCTTACAGCCCAACACCGTGCAGGACTATTTGCTAGAGAACACCAAAATTGGCAGATCCACCATTGGCGCCCTTTGCTCTTCACGGGTGAAAGCAGGTTCACACTGAGCACATGTGACAGACATGACAGAGTCTGGAGACACTGTGGAGAACGTTGGCTGCCTGCAACATCCTCCAGCATGACCGGTTTGGTGGTGGGTCAGTCATGGTGTGGGGAGGCATTTCTTTGGATGGCCGCACAGCCCTCCATGTGCTAGCCAGAGGTGCCCTGACTGCCATAAGGTATCGGGATGAGATCCTCAGACCCATTGTGAGATCATATGCTGGTGCAGTGGGCCCTGGGTTCCTTCTTATGCATGACAATGCTAGGCCTCATGTGGTTGAAGTGTGTCAGCAGTTCCTGCATGATGAAGGCATTGATGTTATGGACTGGCCTGCCTGTTCCCCAGACTGAATCCAATTGAGCACATCTGGGACGTCATGTTTTGGTCAATCCACCAAGGCCACATCGCACCACAGACTGTTCAGGCGCTAAGTGATGCTCTAATCCATGTCTGGGAAGAGATCCCTCAGGAGAACATCTGCTGTCTCATCAGGAGCACGCCCAGTCGTTGTTGGGAGGTTATACACAGTGTCGCCCCCCATCTCTCTGATTTGCTACAACCGTATGTCCCACCACGCTCCCTGAGGTCAGCAGACCAGTTGCTCCTCACAGTTCCAGGAACTCGTCTTACGCGCAGAGGTGACAGGGCCTTCTCTGTAGCAGGACCAAGACTCTGGAACAAGTTACCTCTGCTTGTCAGACAGGCCCCCTCTCTCTCGGTTTTCAAGTCCCGTTTAAAAACTCACTACTATTCAGTAGCTTTCAACACAAGATGATCTGTGTTTTGATCCTGTATGCTCTACACTGGTTTGTCGTCATTATCCGCATCGTTTTTTGTCTATATTCTGATTTACCTCATTTTGTATTTTGCTTTGTGTGTTACCTGTTGTTTTGTCTGTACAGCACTTTGGTTGGCTTTGTAGCTGTTTTAAGTGCTTTATAAATAAAGTGGTATGGTAATGGTATGGTATGGTATACAGGCACATGGAGGCCACACACACTACTGAGCCTCATTTAGACTTGTCTTGAGGAATATTCACTGATGTTGAATCAGCCCGTCATGTTATTTTTCCACTTTCATATTGAGTATGAATCCAAATCCAGATCTCCATGGTGTAATAATTTTGATTTACATTGATAATTTTTGTGTTATTTTCTTCTCAATCAATTCCACTGTGCTAATAATAAATTTTGTCAATGAGAATATTTAATTAATTGAGTTCTAGGATGTGCTATTTTAGTGTTCCCTTTAATTTTGTGAGCAATGTACATTATAATAAATTATCCTGTTTAATTCACGATTGTAATCTAAAACAGATTATAGTGGTTTCAGATAATGGTGCGTACTTATTCTTTTAATTTGTAGCGTTGATCATATTACAGGCAATTGAAGGTAAACTGTACAAAAAGATAAATATTCACTTCATAAGTGAGTGATAACACACTAAAGCAGGTGTGTGCCACACATTAAAAGTAAGCACCAGTGCTGCTCAGCAGCAGCTGGGTGTGTAACAGTTTGACTGGTTCCCTGCATCACGACTGACACTCTTCACTGCCTCCAAGTGGCAGACTTTAATCACATTCTGCAAATACAGTATAACCTCTGTCTTCTGGCTGCTCCTCTTGTTTAGGGTTTAAATAATAAAAACAGCAGGAAAATCCCCAATTCATTTGTTTTTGGGTCACTTTATCTTGATGATGCACCTGAGCTCACCTGTGTTTCTTGATGTGTAGAGAACAATCCTGGTGTTCTTCTGTACGTTACAGCTGTATTTATGATTGTGGGTAGTTTTTTTTTCTTTTCTTCACCACGTTTCGTTTCTTACTTGAGTTTATGGTGATGGTTTCCACAAAAACGTCTGTGTCCTCTCATAAGAATAAAGATCAGTGACCGAGGGTGGGAGCTCAAGGTTAAATTCTGGACCTGAAAAGTGTTTATAATCTAAAAATATTTAATCAGTAACCAGAACAAAAATTATTATCTCCTCAGAAAAGCAGGCCAACTGGAGCAGAAGTGTGTGTAACAAAATATCTTGTATGACTAGCATAGGTCTGCAGGAACATAAAAATTTGTCAGTCGTTTCCAAAACTAGCTGCATATTACAAAGTGGCATGGCATGGTCACAAACACTCAGAATTTAGTAAGGATGTACAGTAGTCCCTCATTTATCACGGGTGTTAGGTTCCATCCAACCCCCACCCCAGTGATAAGTGAAAAACTGTGAAGTAGGGATGCTTTGTTTATTTTAGTATTTATGTATATTTTAAGGCTTTAGAAACCCTTCCCATCATTTTAGCTACATACGTACAGTACTGTACTGTATATGTACAGTAGCTACTAAATTTTACGTACCAGCTCTGCAGAACATCAGCAGCTCTCAGTTCAGCTCAGTTCCGGTCCGACTCCGTTTGTTTCTGCAGACCTAACCTGCAGCGACAAACCCTGCAATCAATCTTCTAAACTCTTAAACTTACTAATTTTAACAACATACGTATATATGTAGCTACTAAATTTTACTTACCAGGCTCTACCAAATGGGAGCAGCTCGGTTCCGGTCCGACCCGAGAAATTAAAAAAGTCCCGGTGCAGCACGACTGAAACCCACCACCCCATCCAGATTGATGTGCGTGTGCAGCTCCGTTTGCAAAAAGCAGCGGTTGGAAGCAGTGTTGACTTCTGGGTAGTGAACTGATGTCTTCTGGGTAACGTAGTTCTTTAGACTGACAAAAACAGTGAAGGCTTAATGAAAGAAAACTGCAAAATGGCTGTGTTTTTTTTTTTTATGTACAGTACAGTATTATGTACTGTACGTCCATAAACCGTGATAGATTGAGTTTGTGAAAGCCAAACTGTGAAGTAGTGAGGGACTACTGTAACAGCAAATTTGCCTATTACTTGCAGTTTTCTTGCAAATGTCAGTTGTTATCTAGTCTTTAACAATCCCAGCCCAGTGAGACACTACCTTTAGGTTTTACTCTTTTACTACCCTTTATCTGCATTGTAGCTCAACTGTTTAGTATCTCAATGAGCTACATGCGCTGAATGTTGAGGAAAGACAGATTTCAGCTGACTTAAAACCAAACTGTTAACTCTTTAATCTCTACTGCTGAGTTTGTACATTCTGTTTGCAGCTCCAGCCTTTCCTGTCCAGTCTTATCCCAACGGATACCCCGGCTATCCGATCAGAGGTGATTCCTCCCAGCCCTCTATTTCTGACGATCATAGGCACAGCCTCATGGCTTTGGAAGACCAGGTAAGACCTGTTTGTTTGTGTACTTCATCTGTAAAGACTTCGCAGCGTGAACCTGTTTTTTGTTTCTTCTATCAGACTCACACCTATGTAAACACTGTGAGTATGGAGGGGGACCTTTCCATGCGTCACTGTGTGCACTCTCTGCCCGAAGTACGGCCCAGCACTTTGCCTGAAACAACACGGGGAGCCATGCCTGTCGGTGGCCAAGGAAATCCACAGTCCAACCTGCGATGCTGTCCGCTGGAGGAGCGCAAAGACCCTCAGGTGTTCCTCCAGCCGTCCTCACAGGAAGTGAAATTCATGCTGGGTCCCACTCCAGCTCAACGCCATCTGCTGGAGAGGGAGAGGCACGGGCACAATCCTCACATGCTCCAGCCAGCAGAGGGCGCAACAGGCTCAGAGACGGAGGGAGACGAGCCCTCCATGCACTTGTGCAACTCTCACTCCTATCACCATTTCCATCACCACCTGCACCGGCACTCGAGCCACGAGCAGTCAGACAGCTGCCAGAGTGGTGAGCTCACCTACGAGAACATCAACGGCCTGCGGAGCGGCCGAAAGCAGCGTCTGAGTCCCAGCAGCGTGTCGCAATCTGTGGGTTCAAGCAGTAGCAGCAGCACTGGCGACAGTCACCCCCATTCCCTCATGCACTCGCTCTCCCACGGCCCTTCGTCTCTCCCCATGCAGGGCTACGCCTGCGACCGGGGTATGGGTGGTCACCGTCGGACAGCTCTTTTGAACTACGAGAACCTGCCGTCTCTGCCACCGGTGTGGGAATACAGCGCGTTACAGCGAGATGATGAGCAGGAGGAGGACGATGAAGACCAGGATGAGGACGAATACGAAGAAGAAGAGGACGACTTTGACGAGTACGAGTTCTCAGAAGGCCCAGGAACACCCAACGGGTACCACCAGGACAGTCGGGATATCCACAGAGACGCCCTTCAGAACTATGTGAACACAGAGCAGGTCCAGCCTCCCCGGCTTCGACACGCCTGCCCCCCTCATCCACGGCAGTGTCGTCCAGACAGCGGGGGACAAATATTTAGCTTTGATTTTCGCAGACGATCGCGTTCAGGGGCCGGAGGCTGCGAGCATGGCCACATGCCTCCGTCGCGGCAGCTGAATTACATCCAGGTGGATCTGGAGGGGGAACCCCCCTGCCAGGCCCTCAGTAGCGGGGGCGCCCAGCCACAGCACCAGCGCCTACCACCCAAAAAATGTGGCCCACCGGCACCCCGACACAGCGAATGCTACGCAGTCATCGACCTGAAGAAGACGGCTGCCATGTCCAACCTGCAGAAAGCGCTGCCCAGGGATGATGGGACCTCCAGAAAGACTCGCCACAACAGCACAGACCTGCCTCTGTAAGGGAATCTCAAACTGAAGGGGGCGATGAAGACAGATGAAGGCTTATCCTCATGTTAGCACACTGGACCCTTCACTGTCATCCATCCATTCAACTGTCGACCGACTAAATCAGTACAGGTACTTCATTAGAAACTCACAATTTGTGCAAAGATAGTGAAATCCGAAACCTCTGAGGAGAATTTGCAACTTTACGTTGTCTTTATGAATCATATATTTGACAGTAAACTCTCCTAACAGCGTTAAGTCTCATATATTGATACATATTTATATGTGACACTTTATGCTGGATTATGATCTAACAGATTTTTATTTTTTTAATGAAAGTGGTCATCGCCATCCAGTAATGAGCAAGTTCACCCACAATACATTCATGTTTTGCTTTTTTTTCCCCCCTAAATATTGCAAACGTCAGAGATGCATTTCTCATAACGGAAGTGTAGTTGAAGTCAAGTTAATGGTTCCTCCCAGATAAAGGCCAGTTTTCATACCTCGTCACAAGCACTTGAGTGTAACGTTGTGGCTTGTACATTCGTTACTGTATACCAAGCATTTTGCACACAATCCAATGGAATTGTATTGAATCGTATTATAGGATTTATTTCATCCAATCCGGTTTGAGAAATTGGATCAAATGAATTGAACAGATTAAGATTTCAGGAGGATTATATTTAACTGTGTTATAGTAAAAAAAAAAAAAAAGTAGCACATGTGGATTAATTTGCTTTAGACATGTTCTGTCAACATGCATAAATTGGAATCATAGCATATCATCATCGATCACACCTCCTGAAGATCATCCCAGGCATGTGAGGTGGGATGGGGTTCATGTTTGTCACGTTGCACTTTTGACCTGGGCCACTTTGCCACCTTGTTCCCACACCACTGGAGCCACAGGATGTGTGCTTTTATGTCAAGAAAATAAAACACTGGGGCCAAATGGACACTCTTACTCAGCGCTGTAGATAGAATTAACTGAAGTGGAAGATAACCTCAAATAGTGGCATGTAAGGGAAAGTTCAGAGCTTATAATGTGGAGTTCTGTGGAATATTTATGAACAATTAATATCTTACTTGTTGTAGATCGCCCTTTGGGTGACTTATGTTTGGAATAATAAAGTTTAATTCTGACCAGATTGACGAGCTAAAGGCTAGTCTGATTAGAACCAAGACCAAAGTCAAGACAAGCGTAACGTGCATTTTATTCATAAAGCAACTCCATGTGCTGTTTCAGTAAATGAATAAAAATAAATAGTACTAGAGGTATACCATTAGATTTTTAATGCTGCACAGACATGGCTGGTTGCCCATTTTTAATTTATATTTTTAAAAGGACTGTATCAGCTGGTTTATCTGGCTTGTCTCTAAAAAGTACAAACACCCACAAATAGAAAAATTACCTAAAAAGGACAAAGAAAACAACTTTATTGCCTTTGTCTTAAAACACAGGCAATTGCATTTTCAATTTTATGTCACAGAGTTATGGACAAACAAGTTATATGGGTTAATAGTTAAATAGCAGCAGCTAGCTGTAGCTTTACTGGTGCAGATTGGGGCATTTTTATTGGAAATTTTACAATATTTCATTCTGAATAAGTGTGTTTTGTGAATCGGAGCTGGTGTAAAAGTTTAGAAAAATAGCATTTGAATTAACAGCGAGGACAATTTGGAGATTAAAGTTGTTTTTAAACACGTTTTTCGCCACTCCGTGCCGTTGGCTCGTCTCTCCAGTCAAAATTCAACTCAAGTAAAATGTTGTTCATGACCTTCCTCTCAGCTCCACTTCAAAAGATCTGAGCTGTCACTTTACGACATAATGCCACAGGAAATGCGCTGATTCTGAAATGTTGTCGGTTGTCAGGTGTTAAAGGTTTGTTTTAAAGATGCTCAAGTGTTTCATTATATCATGTCATGATCCTTTTTTTTTTCCAGGCTTTTTATCGGCCATCTCAGTAAAATATTTATTTATTTATTTATTTAATATTTATTCATTCCATTTAAAAATATGTTTATTTTTCCTCCGTCCATCTGATGACCAGCGTTTTGTAATCCGGTTGATAATACGGAGACCAAAGTTTCAACTCAAATTATCGCTGGACGTTGGTGTTTTACTGTTATTACTGTGCTCGATTAATTCTATATATATTTTAAAAAAAACTAGCGTATTTATATTTTAAGTGCCAAAATCTAATGAATAAAATCAAATGTGCCATAAGTTTTTTTTTCCTTTCTTTTTTCTAAATATAGGACAGAAAGGCACAAAATTAAAACAAGCAGGGGCAGGAGGGACAAAGTTAAGACAAAAAAAAAATAAATAAATAAATCCAGCTTTATAAGAAAAATACAATCTAAAATAAAAACTGCACATTCCACCTCATCTACATCTATAGCCATGTTCAAGGGAAATGTAAAAATGATCTTTCCGTCTGATAATCACTGTTCCGGTGGTTTTTTTGCTGCTACTTGTACATACTAAGAGTAGCCCGTGGAAGCTACTGGTATTTGTCTAAAATGAAAAATAATGTGATGTCAGACTTTTTACCATGTTGTTAGAAAATCGTGTTGCTGTCTTCTTATTTTCATTTGAGCAGCAGAAATGTCATGCACCATTTCATTTCCATCACATTGTTTTACCACTAAACTGTCTGGCTGGTAGGAGACGGATTGGAAGCCCAGATCCGGGGGTGGCTTCGTCTTTTTAACCAACACTCATCTTTTTGTAGCTGACAGAGAAAAGATGGAGGTTTTCCCCACGCTTCAGCCTTTAAGGCAGACGTATCGCAGCATTCGCTCAAGTTGGTCTTTTCTCAACTTCAAAACAAAGGGAGGATTTGTTAATTAAAATATGCATTAATTTTTGTTTCCTTACCTTTGTAACTGAGCAAGTAAAGCTCCTTTAGGCTGAGCTGTGAAGATTTTTTTTTTGTTTTTGAGAAGTCCTTTAAAATATTCCTGAACCCAAATTAATGCTCTTTATTTCATGTTTTATGTGTCAGTATTAAGAAATTGACATAAATGGAATCAAAAAGGCCTAGTATTCCTTGAAGGAACGCACACCACCCACTGCTAGTTTTTAAAATATGATTATAACCTTGAATAATGGTAGTTTTACCATTTTTTGGGTCAAATTTTGAAATTAAAGTTGTGTAAGACTGCACGAAATTTAATAAGATCCACTGTTAATGCTTGCAGTATATCTTGAGGATGACTCTCAGCTACCACCATTCCAAATTTTCACTCAATATCTGTGAATCTGACATAGTTAGAGCATAATTTGTGTTGGCTCTAATCAGTTAGCTGTGGCAGCCATCTTGAATTGGGTTGACTTTAAAAGTTTCAGCTGTAGATGGGAATATTTAAGGCAAACTTCAGTTTTGAACACAAGTTTTTGAGTAGATTTAATCTAAAACAATTATTGTGTACACTAAAAAAAAGAAGATTAAATTCAAAATTAGTCAAAGTCTGAAGTTGATTGTTTTATTCAAAATAAAAATTGGAAAGGCCAGATGATATTTGCGACTGACTCACTGTAGGAAGGAGGATGTTTACATTTTTGCAATAAAAGTAGAACTTTTTTTTTAATGAACCAGTATGTGAAGTGTAAAATTTAAAGGTAATCTTTAAAGATGTGATGCTTTTTTTCCCACTTTTTTCTCTTTAAACCAGCAGTTTTATCATTGCAGGTCCAATGTTTACTTTTTAACTCATGGCAAAAAAAAAAAAAAAACACATTTTTTATATCCTAAACTTGTATTACAAGTGCCACTGGCAATGCTTTATGAAGTTATATTAAATTACATTTGATGACATCTCACAGGAATCAGCAGGAAGTTTGTGTAAGTTTTCCAGAATATTGTAGATTTGAGTAACCTCATGCTGTCCAGACCAGCTTTTACAGCATCATTGACAACCAGCTCCTGTGTACACTGATATATAATCTAAATAAATCAATAGATTTGAGTAATTGTTCTTTCAGATCACTCATATTCTTAGTGGTTGTGTGATATTTCACTTGCTTTCAAAGTGCAGCTCGTACCTCCGCGATGCATTCACAATGGTCAGTGTTTATCCTCGAGGCCTGTTTCACACACGTATAGAAGGTTTTAGCTCCAATGATGATTAGTTCTGATGGTCTGCAAGGCAGGCAGTCACCAGACGAGTCGACGACTCCTGCCAATAACTTCACTGAAGGAGGGAGTTAAAGAAAAACTTAAAAAGGGTCTTGTTCTGTGTTCATCGTTTAAAAAGTGTGTGTTCTTCATTAGAGGAATCTTTTCACTGTGCCTTGCATATTCGAGCAGGATAAACATTTTCATTACATCTGAGGTTCAGTTTGCATATAAAAAAATATGTGCCTGGCAAAAAGGAGATTTAGTTAAACGGGTTTCACGTTGTGATCGAAGATGGGGAAAAATGTGCCAATTTCAGATTTAAGCCTGTACTCTGTTCAAATGGTTTCAATTAAATAAAATAAAGTCTAACAATTTAATTAGTTATCTTTCTGGAAGTTTAAAAAGATCATGATACCACTTTCTTGTCTGTGGAGCATGAGCCTATTTTTGTAAAAAAAACCTAATACGATAAACTTTTTCTAGCATACCACCTTCAGAATCTAAAAACTGTTTAATCGAGCCCTTCTTTCTTTATTCTAACAGTTTATTTTATTTTTATCTTAATCAATAACCCTACAATCATCAGAATAAATATAATGTCATGTTAAAACCATTGAATACAAAATTGATTTAAGTTTGTCACAACAGATGACATTTTTGTACATCATTGTACATTATATGTACATTATGTATTGTACATTATTGTACATTGTACATTTGTCAAAACAAGAATTTTAGTTCGAGTCAACTGGTAGCTCCCGGGCCGTATCTGGGATGGATTTGTCCTTTGAAATATTAATTTGTTAATAAATTATATACAATCCTCTCTAGAGGAATCAGTAAAAAGGAAGTGGATGGGAGTGCCTTTACCAATCAGAGCGCTCGCTCACAGCAGACAGATCAGACCC